CCGCCCTTGCCATATCCCTTACCACTAACAGAAGGACAGAAGGCATTGTAGCAGTAGAGCCATGATAGTGATACTTACCCCCTGCCCATAACTACTCTCCTTATTATACATGGCAGCGGCTACTGTATGCCGGCATCCTTGGAATTCCTTATTGTCCATATCACGTATGGCATCCTCAGCATCACGACGCTCATAGAACTGATAGTAGGACTTGATACTCATAAACATATATAAGCAAGCTTACTCTGACGAAGCCGAACCCTCTACTGACACCAGTATATCGATCAAGTGGAATGAATACATCTCCGATCTCACCGAACCTGAACAGGATATGCTTATGGACCCATACCAAACATGAGTATCTCAATAACAGCAAGGGCAATATAAGGCAATGAGCCATGAGATAATGATACGCCCTACTGTGTGCAGCAACAGCAATCACCGCCGCCGTCGCCGTGGGACAGGAAAGAGGGACAGTCACAGGATAAGCCACAGCTGGTTATGTCCGGAAATATGACAGGAATACCAGCAGCAGCAGCCGCCGCAACAGCAGCAGCATCAGCGATGGATATTTATACTGCTCATAGGTGCATGATCCTCATGATGATCGAAAGAGATCTATGAGCCTTCTAAGCGTGTATCAGAGTTACTGCTGTGCACTGCTCTTCCAGAATACCCACCCAGGACTACTTCGAGAAAGCCTCTCGGAGATCATCCTTACGTACTCTCTCATCGATACCATCAACCTGAGATGACGGACAACCTATGGAATACTATTAACGATATGTCGTCATACCTTGATACTGAAGAGGTCGTTGAGCTGTCCAATATTCATTCTGCTATGAGCAACGACAAGGAAGAGGGGAAGTGGATACCAACTGAACTACGACTAGCTATTCCTGGTAGTCAGTACCAAGACAACACAGAAGACACGTGTTGAATAGGAAACTGTTGGAATTGCAATGGTAGCCTATGGTATGAGTGAGGATATGCTCAGTAGATAGTGGATCAGAAGAGTTGATGATGATGATGGACTACATAAGGGAGACTACGTGAGGGACACATAGTGTCGCCGATGCTGCTACACTGTAATACCTGGCCACTTCCAACTCAACAGGTGATATTCCAATGAGATCCGGATAATCAGTCAAAGTGAAGGCAATTACATGCACGATAAGAAGAACTACCACAACCATGACAGGACCTAGCGTGTACTACCCGCCACCATCATGAACTTGATGACACATTATGCACATGACTGCTACATTATGTCTCTCTTGATGACATCAAGAGGGACATAATGTAGCAGTTCGAAGAGCAGATGATCCTACAATTTGAT